AAACGACGCAAGTCCACCCCCGCATCCCTTCCCACCCTCCAGCCCCCGCCCCTCAGGACCCCCCTCTTGGAACCGCCGACTTCCTGCCCCCGAGCCTCACAGGCCCCTGGCCGTGGCGCAGCAGGCATCGGGCTGCCGCCCGGCCGCTCCCCCGAGCCTGCGGACGAGCCTCCGTGCGCGCCCCTCCCGCGACCAGGACCCCCGCGACCGCCCCGCACCTGCCCATGCCCGGCGCAGGCCACGGGGGCGCGCCGGCGCCTGCCCGGGCGCTCGGGGGGGAGGGCACTCTGCGGCAGCGGCCTGAGCTTGACCCTTCTTGTTCGGGGCTACAGAGATAGGTGGGGTAGGCGTAAGTCGGGCGTGTCCCCCTACAGGGGGATTTTCGACGAAAAATGAAAAACACCCCCAAAATGCCCCAAAACGGCCAAACAAATATTCAAAAAATAGTTCCCAGACTGTTTTTGGACTATCTTCTTGACTATTTTGGGTTTGTTTTTTTCGTCGAAAATCCCCCTGTAGGGGGACAGGCCCGACTTCGGGGTAGGGGCTTAAGGGTGGGGCTGGAGGGAGAAAGTCGCTCCGGACGACCCCTAGGAGAGGGCAGCGCGTCGAGCGAGAGCATCCGGCTGCGCCCGTTCCCCCGCCGCACCCTGGGAGGACCCTCCCTCTCTACGACCCCTCCTCCTCCTCGGGAGGAGGAGGGGTCGTAATGAGGAGGAGGAGGAGGAGGAGCAGGAGGAGGAGGAGGAGGCCGAGGAGGAGGAGGGGCCGTAGGAGGAGGAGGAGGAGGAGGAGGAGGAGGAGGAGGAGGAGGAGGAGGAGGAGGAGGGAAGGAGGAGAGGAGGGAGAGAGGAGGAGGAGGAGACCTCTCCCCAGATCTCCGAAGACAGGGCCCCCACAACCCGGGAACTCGTTCCTCGAGCTCGGCCTCCATGGGGCCTGGGATCGGGTCCCACGTATAGGGGCCCTCAGGAAGGGATCCGGGGCGGAAGCTGGCGCCCGGGCCGGGGTCGGGGCCTCTGGGGCCGCGCATGGACAAAATCAGATCGGCGGATGTCAGGGGCCCGTCATACAGTCAAGAACCCTAATAGGGACGCGCGGTAAGGACGCAAGACCCTTTGGAGCCGAGGTTGGGATTTCTGGGGCGGCGGACGACAACAACCGCAAGGGCGCAAGAGCAAGGAAGAGCAAGGACGCAAGGGTACCCTGAGCAAAGTCGCGCGTCGTCATTAGGGTTTTTGACTGTACTCTCCCTCGTTCTTTTTATCTCGAGGCCTAGGTCACGTGTCGAACGGCCAGCTGCCTATCTCAAGCGTGAAGTGGCCCCATGATCACTCCCAGACGGCCCAAGATGGTCTCAAGAGGGCCAACGAGCCCCCCCAAGAGACTCCAAGGTGGCCTCAAGAGGTCCCCCAAGAGGGCCCGGCCCTAAGAGAGGCCCGAATCAATGGCTTTCCACTGGTGCCTGGAGGACTTCAGCCTTCTCGTATCCTGCAGCTTCCGAAACTTCCCTGGGACTACTCCACATCCCTTATTATTCGTCCCCCGGGTCCGGTTTTTTGAGGCGCCATATTGGTAGCTGGGGGGGTCCGGTTTATCAGGGCACTTTCTCTGGACTGGAGCTTAGGGGGTCCGGTGTAGTACGGCGCCCCGTCGAAGAGGGGGGCCCGGAATACCAGGTCGCATTTGGAGGGGGGTCTGCTTCTTTAGGGGGGGGTCGAGTACTGAGGGATCTGGAGCACGCCCGGAGGGCAGGGCCTCAAGGCGGCCCCCAAGACGGCCGCGGAGAGGGCCCCACGAGGGGCCCGCGCCGCTCGGGGGATGGGGCCCCACCTGCAGGGCCGCCGAGTGCCCGACGCCGGCGGCGAGGCAGCGGGCGCCGGCCGCTCCTACCCGGCCGCTCCTCCGGATGGGGTGCGCAGCCGCCCTCCGCTGGCCTGGGCGGGAGGGCCTACGCCGTCGGACCTGGGCTGCTCTTGGGTGGCCCAAGAGGGGGTCCAGCTGCTTAAAGAGGTGGTGCCACAGATTTGTCGGGCAGTCTTACTGCAAATGTACTGCGCCGGAGAATTGTACTGCATTGTATTGTAAGTGATGTGTTGCACGCGGACATCCAGCAATACTTCTGCGTCCCAGGACGTATTGCACGCCCCAACTGTGTTGCAACTCCGCAAATCTCTTACACCAACTCTATTGCACCTCCCCCTTGTCGCTGGACCCCATTTGGGGTCGACCCGACTTCTGCTGCTCCCGTCGTGCTTCAGGGCGAAGCTTAGGTCGGATCGTGGGCGACGCATGGGACAGGCCCGACGTCAGGCCAAACCCCCGCAGAGATCTCGGACACCACGAGAGGCAGCGAAATGGTGTTGAGCGAGCATCGCCTCCCTTGGCCCGAGGCGTGAAAACCCTTGCGCTTCCGTACTTTCTTGGTGCTCGAAATTCTTTCTGGTGGTCAAGGCTGAAGCAAGTTGGAACATCATAAACCTGGGCCAGAAGAACATTCAAGAGCATGAGACCCTCCGCCGGCCACAGCACACAGAACATCGTGGAGTGCCCTCCCCAGGGTGCACAAGAGCATCCGACAGGCACGAAGAACACGAGGGTGCCCCCCCCCCGAACCGACCTCGAACTTGCACCTCGGTCCGACTGTACGGCGATCCTGGGTCTGGGATCGGCCTGGCCAAGACCGGTGCAGTTGTGCACGGTTTAGCGCTGAAGAGGTACGTTAGCGAGCCACGTCGATCTCCGAGAAGCACGCCACCTCTGCGAGGCGATCCCCACGCGAGGGCACCCCCGCACGGTGCAGAAGGGCTGGTGAAGTGAGGAACGACTGGCAAGGAACGGAGCCCACTCTTGGCGCCAACAGCGCCTGAGCGCACGAGGAGCAACCACGGAAGTGAAGGGGCCCACAAACACACAAATAAATAGACACAAGTAACCAAATACCCCATACTTGTCACATATTTTCTGTGTTCTCGTCTTCCACCCCACTTCCCATATTTTCTTATCTTATATCTCCTGGGGATGGACGATTGATTGTGTATGTGTGCTTCTTCCCCTCCCGCGGAAGGACCTGAGGAACAGCGAGCCCCTTCCGAACCCAAAGCGGTCCTTCTTTCAGCGTCTTCACGGTGTCCCCCGCCGTAACTGCTTCGGCGCACGCCGCCCCCTATCAGAAGCCGGGCGAAGGCTGGCAAGCCCGATGTTGCTGCCAAAACGGAGCTCCGGAAAAATGTTTCTCTTCTTCCGGGGAGCAGCCCGTTTACTATGTTCGATGATCCTCAGAACGCGCATTAGCCCCAACGTGTGTTTGTCCATCGATGCCCTTCGATACAACGCAGGCGATGTAATGATCTACTGATTGAGCTGAAGGGGGTAACACACACTTTGGGCTAACACACGCCCTGAGGATCATCGATATCTAGCGCGATGAAATTTATTACGGGAATTTGTTCACGGACTTGCCAGCCCTCTGAGCATCGTTTAACCGACCCCCATCCCCATCGGCGTGGCCTGGGCCCCACTGGCCGATTCACCCCCGTAGATGGGGATACAGGCTGTTTCCCTCGGGTCTCGAGGGACATATGCCCAAATAGGGTGCTCAGATGGTGGGGGTCTGCATAGGGATGGTGATGCGGCTAGGGATCGGCTATGATAGCGATGGTCCTCGCCCAGGGTGGGTCGGGAGTAGGGCCTGGATAGTCGGGATGGTGAGGGCGATGGTGACGGGACGGGGCAGCGATGGTGCTTGTGATGGGTCGGGATGGGGATGGTGATGGCGATAGCCCTCGCCCAGCTTCCGACCCAAGGTGGGGGACAGCGCGCCACAAGCGGGCCGGCGGCACCCCACCGCACGCTGCCTTTGGAGGCTCCTAGATGGGGTCGGAGTAGCAGGGGTCGGAGGATCTCGCAGCATCGCCGATGCGTCGCCGATGCATCGTCGATACATCGACGATGCACTGGCGACGTCGGCGATGCATCGGCGACGTTGGCGTCGAGAAAATCGGGCTCCACATCGAGCCGCATCGGCGATGCATCGGCGATGCGACGCGATCCTCCGACCCCGTCTACTCCGAACCCATCTGGCGAGGCCTAGACCACCGCACGCTGCCTTTCCAACGCCGACCGCATGGTTGGTGCCCTCTGGCAAGCGGCAAGCGGGGGGGGCAACGATACGAGTGGGGACTGGCAAAGGGCCTCGGAGGCCTTGGCGCCACGGCCCTCCTCCTCCTCCTCCACCTCCTCCTCCTCCTCCTCCTGCTCCTCCCCCTCATCATCATCATCATCATCCTCTTCCTCCTGCTTCTCCTCCTCCTCCTCCTCCTCCTCCTCCTCCTCCTGCTGCTTCTCCTCATCCTCCCAGTCCGCATCGACTTGGAATCGGCGATACATCGCCGATAGATCGGGGATAGGCCCCCAATAGCGAGCCCGCACGATCCTGGGCGGGTTGGGGCTACCGGGCCCCTATCGGTGATCCATGGGCGATTGGGGGTCGATGCATCCACCCACTATGCCCATCCCCCCCTACCGTTGCCTCGTGGTTTTCGGAACAAAACTCGGCTCTCAGGCGGCCGTTTGAAACGATTCCAGTACCTCCATAACTCCCTCCATGAGGCGCAGCTGCTGCAGAGCATCCCGAGGCTGGGACACCGACAAGAACCTAGGAAAAGCAAAGAAACCCTTGGAAGATCTAACATCCATCGTTGCACTTCTTTTGTTGTTTTTTGGTGTTATCTCATATGTTTACTAATTCGTTGTGGGTTTCCCCCTCCTTCCGTTGCCCCTGAGAGCGTGGTGGTGGGCTTGTTTTCCACCGCCACCACCACGAGTAGGAGGGGGAGGGAGTCCTCCTCCTCCTCCTCCTCCTTTTCCTCCTCCTCTTCTTCCTCCTCCTCATCCCCCACCTCCTTCCCCCCTCCAACGTATGGTTGCGGTGGAAAACAAGCCCACCACGGGGGCCTGGCAGGGGCGGCGGACAGGGGCGGCGGGCAGGGGCGGCGGGCGCGCCGGCGGGCGCCAGCGAGCCGCCCGCGGCGGCCGAGCCACCCGGCTCCTCGCCGCGGCTGCCGCTGCCGCGGCGGCCGTCGCCGTGCTCCCCCCGCGCCGCCCGCTGCGCCCCGCCCTCTGGCCACCGATCCCCGGAGGTCCTGGCGACTCCATGCTTTATAGAGCCGGGCGTTTCCTAGGATCCCTCATGGGACGCACAGGGACATACAAATACTGGATGTCCTCCTTGGAGGCGCGCGTCCGACCCGAACGTATAATATACCCATCTTGTAGTAGATCGTTTCCCGAGCGGTGTGGCCAGCAGGCGCCCGCCACGACGCATATACTGTAAGACTTCTCGGTGCGCGCGTCGCCCCTGGGGGGGCGACGCACACATAGTATTAGCCTTTTAGGGTGACGCCGACCTGTGGATTCGTAGGATTTCTCAGGATATGACTAGTCGGGGGCGCGCAAACATGGATCGTGCCCTCCCCAAAATGCGGCCGGTGCCGCCTCGTTCGGCGGCGGAAATCCGCGATTTCCCATGGAAACGGGACCCGTCGCTAATCCACGCCCCCTTGATCCATGTTTGCGATCGCCTGACCTAAGAATCCCTGCCCTCGCCCCCCCCTCTAGGACCCTGGCGGCCCGCCTCTTGTTCCAGCCGGGCGTTCTCGCAGCATTTCGGGCCCCGCAGCCCGCCCAGCTCAATCCGGCCCGGAAAAGGACGCAACAAGACAGGGTCTGGGGCTCCAGGCGCGATGTTCCACGGCGTCTCTTGGAGGCCTGGAAATGGGCACCAACACCAACACAGGGGGGTGCCTCCACAAGGGGGGAGATGATCCTAGATTTCGGCGTTGGTGATAATATTTCGGCCGCCTTGGAAACCATAATATTACCACCATTACCGAGATCGGGATCTTCTTCCCTCGGTGGAGGCACACCTCCGAAATTGGTGCTGGTGTCAACCTCTAGGCTGGCGAGCCTCGCTTTTTTGAGACAGCGGATCTCAGGGGAGATCCGGGCGCTGCAGCAGGCTGTTCTTCGCCCTCCCACTCCCCCTACCCCCCCCCTCTGCGCGTGGCCGACCGTTTCTGGGCCCACGGCTATCACACATCGCAGAAAGATGGGGTCGAGGACTCCCGTGGCGATGTCCCGCGATGCTGCACCTTTGTCGCAGCGTCGGATCCTTAGGGTGTTCTGACCGGCGCCTGCGATCTTGCTCTGCCCCTGCGCCTCCTCTGCTCCTCCCTGACCTGCCGCCGCACACCCGCCCTCCTACATCCTGACCCTGCTTTAAAAGAAGAAGAACAATAATAATAAGAAGAGGAAGAAGAAGAATATGAAGAAAAACAAAAAAACGCCATAAACATTAACTTTTGGCGCTCCGCGCGGTTTTCTTGGATCCGCGCAGGGCCCCCCCAGCGGCGCCTCGCAAGAAATCCGCGCGGAGCGCCAACAGTTCATGTTTATAGCGTTGTTTTTTCTTCGATGCTCCCCGTGCAGCTCGTCATCGTCGTCCTCCGCGCTCTGCTCTCTTTCCCCTTCGTGCGCTGGTCCGTCCGCCCGTTCCTCCTGACTTGCGTCATGCCTCTCACATCCTCGTCCCCCCCTCAAGCCTGCTGCTGCTCCTCCCCCTCCTCGCCGCTCCCGCCTCGCCTCGCCCCCCCCCCCCCCGCAGATGTCATTCCATCTGTCGGTTCCCGCCCGTCCTGCTTCTCCTTACTGGTGTTGTTCCTCGTGCTCCAATTGCGCCACGTCCCCATCCAAATCTGCCACTGTGCCCTCTGGTACGCCGAGGCGTGGTAGGATGCCACGTGCTGTCTGGTAGGGTGTCTGTATTCTTCATTGGGACCTCTCGTCTGACCGCTCTCACCTGCGTGCGATCCACCCCTCCCTTTTCCCCCGTGGTACACATCTGGTAGCCAGCGCGGACACCAAACAAGGATCCCACGCAACCTGTACCCGACGCATTGCAACTTATGCGGTGCAATCATAATCGTACAGTCAAGATTGTGCAAGCTATGTGCAACAATATATGTGGTGCAGAGCAATTTCAAGCAATGCCAGGCAATGCTGAAGAAAATACCCGGACGATACAGCAATACAAAGCAATGCGATCAACGGAAACCAACGCAAACCAGTGCAAAACCACGCAACGCAACGCAACGCAATGCAAAGCAAAGCAAAACAACAAGAAGCAGTGCGACGCAATGCGGCGCAATGCGACGCGATGCAAAGCAGTGCAAACGAGCAAACCAATGCCACGCAACGTAACATAAAACAATGTTAAAGCAAAGCAGAGCAACGCAACATAATACGAAGCAAAGCAAAGCAGCGCAAAACAAAACAACGCGGCGACGCGCGGCGACGAGCCGGCCGGATCGCCAAACGGGGGCCCGAATGGCGACGGCGGCGCCGGGCGGCGACGAACCGGGCGGACCGACACCGGGGACCGGCTGCCTCAGATAACGAGAGAGCCCCCAAATGGAAGCACTCCTCCTCCTCCTCCTCCTCCTCCTCCTCCAGTTCCTCTCCTCCTCGTCCTCCTCCACTCTCCTCCTCCTCCTCCTCCTCCTCCTCCTCCTCCTCCTCCTCCTCCTCCTCCTCCTCCTACTGCCGTGGGGAACGTGGCCCCGCGCCTGCGAGGCGTCGCCCCGACGCGGGAAAGACGGGTCTGCGCTCCCGGAGCCACGGCCCCCCCACGCGCAAGGCAGAATCAGGCTGCTCTCCCGAGGCCACGAGGTCTCCTTTTAGCGCACAAGTCCGCGCCTCCGAGGCCACGATACCCCTTGTAAAAGAGCACGGGTCCGCGCCCCCGAGGCCAAGACCCATCGTCAAACACCATCCTTGTTTGTTTTGCCGTATTTGTGCGTGCGTCTTTTAATTAGCGCAGCGCCTCAGGAAGGTCTCCCGCCGCGCGCGGGCACGCGACGGACTACCCCCTGGCGCCGCCTACGCACGGCACGGCGCCGTAAGAACAGGAGGCAATGTAGAAGGAGAGCAGCTGGAAGAAGTCGCCCTCAAAGCCGTGGACGCAGGCCAACGTGCCGCCGACGAAGAAGGCGTCGCCGCCGAAGAAGACGCCGTGCCACCAGCCGAACACGGAACGGCAGCGAGTCACGACATGGTCGATCATCGCGCCACGTGGCTGCAAGATGAGCCACCCTGCAGGAGCGACGCTGCTGGGGTACGTCGGGCACAAGGCGCCAGGCCCTTCTCGACGCGCCTGATCGCGTCTTGCTGGTTGCGGCGCGTGGGCTCGTTGTTCGGCGAGAGCCCATCGCACCTCAAGCCAAGCTTCCGCACTGTACGGACAGGAGGAGGAGGAGAGAGGAGGAGGAGGGGGAGGAGGAGGAGGAGGAGGAGGAGGAGGAGGAGGAGGAGGAAGAGGAGAAGGAGGAGGATCCCCGCTCGCTGCGCAGAAGAGCAGTCGTCTCGGGGCGGACGCGCGGCGCGCGCGCGGCGGGCCGTAGGGAGAGACGGGCCGCCGCGATCGCACCGTGCGGCGCACTCAGGTGGCCGTGTCCAACACGGGCCCCTGGACGACCATCAGGAGGTCGTAGCAGCGCCGCAGGCCAGCCTTTGAAGAAGGAGGGAGGTAGAGGGTGGGGGCCGAGAAGCTGCAGACGACTGCGTAGCGGGCGCGAATGGGGATAGAGAGGTGCATCCCCGCTCGCTGCGCAGAAGAGCAGTCGTCTCGGGGCGGACGCGCGGCGCGCGCGCGGCGGGCCGTAGGGAGAGACGGGCCGCCGCGATCGCACCGTGCGGCGCACTCAGGTGGCCGTGTCCAACACGGGCCCCTGGACGACCATCAGGAGGTCGTAGCAGCCATACCCATGCTCAAAGCCCTTGCGAAGTGACAAGAGTTCGGCGGGCGGCTGCGAGCTGAATGGGCCACCCGGCAAGGCCAGCATTCAGGAAGGACGCGACAAGGTAGTCGCTAACAGACGCAAAGTACTCGACCAGAGACCGAGAGGCCTCAGGGAGGGCGGCAAGGACAGTAGAAGCGGCAGCGTCTTGCAGATATCCCTCGGCGGTGGACGCCTGGCGCCAGCGGCCCCGCCAGAAGACGCGTGGCAAATGCTCCGTAGCGGCATTGAAGTCTGTGGCGCCTGTGCCTTGAAGGCCAACGGGTGTGATGTCGAACCCCGCAGGCATCTTGGCGAGCGGCACGCCCAAGCCGACAAGTAGATGGTTCCACCGAGTACGGAAGCCGCTCTGACCAGAGGTCGTGGTCATGAGCGGATCGGTGGGGCCCACATGCCGAAACACAATATCCATAATTTTGACGGTCGCTCGATCCGAACAACGAGCGTATTGAATCGGATAAGACCGACAACTCTCAGGAACTGCAATCGACAAGAAGGCGTCGCCTTCCGGCTCAAGGCGGTCGCATGGCAGCGACAAGTCACAACGCTTCGCGTGGAGAATCTCGCCTGGACGCAGGGACATCGTGAAGCCAGCCAGCACCAGGGCAGCCATCTCGGGCCACTCCCACAGCAGGCACAAGCTAACCATCGCGCGAAGGAGCGCTCGGGGAAGCGGCGGGCGGAGCCCGGGGAAGCTGCGGGCATGCCCGAAGAAGCGCGCTGGAGGCTCGGAATGCTTCCACAATTTAGCAACATCCCAGGCCTCAGTCAGCAAACCCCTACAGTGAGGGTGATTGGCCTGCACGCCCAGCACGGCGTGAACAAGGATGTACTGCGGGAGCCCCGCGTCGTGGAGCCAAACTCCGAACGTGGCCAAGAATCTGCCTGCTAAGATCCCGCTGCGGTAGAGCGTGTCAGGGACAATGCCCGTGTGCTCACCTAGCCACAGCTCGAATGCATCGAGCGAGCGTGTACGCCTGCTCTCATCAGCGGGGGTGAAACGAGAGCCCTGGGCGAACGAGATTCGCGCGAGAGGAGGCGCGGGGCTAAGGCCGCGACCGGAGTCAGCGGCAGCGGTCGAGCCAGAAGGCGTCGGCGCGGCTGGGGACAGCTCGGCCCCTGGGCCGTCTAGCGCCATAAGCCGCGGGCGCTGCCGCTCGCCCTGATGTGCGGCGTCAGCCGAAGACAGGACGGC